CAACGTTGAGACAAGCAATTGAATCAAGCCGCGTAACCCTAAATTGGTGCGATTCATGTCAAGCCCTCAATGGTTGCTATGTCAGCGGGCTCGGCAGCCTCGGTACGCATATCGGGCTGAGAGGCGGTAGAAGAATTGGCCTCAGAAGATTGGGCGGCTCCTCGGGCTTTCGCCTGCGCAACTCGGAGTTTGGTGGCCCTGGCCTCCCGACATTCACCCATAATTTGGCTCTGCATTTGTTCCGAAGTAGGGGGGAAGACCTGGAACAAGGAAAAAGAAACAAGTATTAGAACCGGGCGGAGCAAATCTCGAAGGAACCCACCTTAGGGATTGGACCGCCCGGGCCCACAAGATAAACACGTGCGAATACTAATCCGAGAACCGCGAGCGGTACCTATCCCTGCATCAGAAAGCGCCTGGAGGGTCAAAAATCCTTTCAACTTCTTCACACCGTCCCGCTTCAGCTTCGCGACAGCATCAGTTAACTCCGGGGACGGTTCCGACTGTTTTGTCTTCGGGGGATAACCACTCCACCGTATGGGGAGCCGCTCGTCCGCATAACGAAGGAAGAAGAAACGGTTCTTCCAATCGTGGATAGAAGTCGGGGGCCCCTCAAACAGCTTTAGGTGGGGACGTGCGGCCACGCTCAGGAACCCATCGGAGTTTTGGGGGTTGACCTGGAAAAAGTGGTGAAAAAGGTCCAGACTCGGGGCTAGGGGTGGGCACGGGACGGAACATGACGGGAATTAGACTATCCCGGTCCCGAACCCGGTTTAGGACAACGGGACAAAACGGGACGGGACAAGATGTTGTCCCGGTGTTGTCCCTTTTAAACCGGTACCGGAACAGAACGGGACGGTTCGGGACATCCCAAAAAAAATTGCAGCGAAAAAAATACAGCTCCAAAAAGAAACTTCATGACAAAAACTACAACACTAAAAATGGAACACATACAAAAATTTATGATAAATGCAACACAAAAAATAGTAGATTAATAGGATAGTTGCATGAAACAAACCGTAACAACAACAATTAACTCCAACACACACAATACTACTAAGAAACTACAAAAATAAATAAAAAGAGAAACAATATTATTAGAAGTGAAGCATGTGAAGTATATGTGAGTTTCTTTTTAGTATGTAGAAGATAGTTCATACTTGATATAATTTAGACTCATTTAGGTGTTTTACATATTAGATAACTAATACCTAATTAATATTAATATTCATTAGTATTTGAATTGATGGTAGACTCACTAACCCACAACTATATACCCCGTACAATTTTGAATTCGAGACAACGGGACGGAATGAGACATATTTTATTTGTTCCGATCCCGTTTTATTTTGAAACGGTTCGGGACCGGAACGGGACAAAAATAGTTTGTCCCGAATTTAACGGGACAATTTCAGAACGGAACTGGAACGTTTCGGAATGGAACAACGGGACCGGGTCTTTTGCCCACCCCTACTCGGGGCGATGTCCTCCAAATGGCAACGGACGATGAAAGCGGAAATGAGCCGATAGGAGTTTGGCATGAATTGAGCTGGGACGATGCAGTAACAGCGAAAGAAGTCAAGGTAAAACTGGTGTAAGGGGAAGCACAGTCTGGCCTTGAGGGAGTCCATATGCACCATGATCATCCCCGGACGTCTCATAAATAGATTATCAGCACCCCTCAGGCCATAGACGAACGGCGGGGGAAGTAGGATTTGCAGTTCCTTCAGAGCCCTGCGCGAGAAGGACTGCTCGATCCCAGCAACATTGTGGGTCTGCACAATATGACGGGTGGCGTCCATCGATATGCCAAGATAAAAAACACGAAGATCGTCCCCCTCGACCGCTTCATCGCGGGAATCATAATCAGCTGGCCATTCGTCCTCAATGGTTGCTCGGACCTCCGCCACCTAAGCACCCCCAGGGGCAGTCTCCATAGTGACTTCTGTGCCCGCACCATCAGGGACAACCGCCTCCGCCATAACTTGCCCCACTACGTCGGAAGTGCCATAATGGCCGGAGGTACCCACCTCCCCAGAGGACCGAGAACGAGAACCCGAACCAGAAGAGGAGCCGGTAGAAGAACCCGATCCGGAGCTCGACCCGGAGGATATTTCCATAGAACAGACCATAGCAAAAGACAAAGCAAGGCGAGAAGGAGATTGGGCTCAATTACCTGAGGAACTTCGAAGGGTCTGGGCGAAGAGCCGGAGAGCACTTGCAGGAGAGCTTGAAGACAATGGCGGACAAGGCAGAAGGTAGAAACCCTAATCCACACGGGAGATCCGGTATTTATAGGAGGATACGCCACTGCATTAGCCAATCCGCAAATGACACGTGGCGAGGAGCGTACCCAGGGACACGTGTCGCGTGGAGACGGGCAGGCGCGAAATGATTGTTGTTACCTCGGGAGTTGAACCAGTCGCATAACTGCCGCCTAGAGCCCCGTGAACCACAGTCAGAGAAGCAACCGTCACATCAGAGGTGAGGACAGTTCTGGGCAGTACGGCAGAAACAAATTACTTCTTCATGTTCCGTGCACACTCGAAACATCAGAAGTGGGGGACTTGTGTTGGGTTAGTGGCCCAATAAAGGGCCGACCCATCAACCCTTAGTGATCACCTACGGGCGTCCAACTAAAGGGTTGGGGGACGTATGTAGTCCATCACTAGCCAGTATCAAAGCCTAAGGCCCGGGAGACGTGTGTGTTCCACTAACTGAAAGCAACCAGGCCTAGGGTCCCTACGAGGTGCATGGGGATGAACGTCCCCACCCCTCAATAGGTGACCAAGGGCGGCTCAAGGATAGATCCATGACAGCTCAAGTGCATGAGCACGAACGTCCCCTCTCCCATTGGCAGGAAATCGGGAATCCAGCAGGAGATAAGGGCCAGGCCCTTGGGGATGAACGTCCCCTACCCAATGGCGGGAAACCAGGATTCTGGAAGGAAGCGCATTTAATGCAGAAGATTTGGTGGTTGGGATTGAGCCGCCCACAGCTTGCCACGTCAACATGCCCAACCACCCGTTGGCGGTATAAATAGAAGCATTTATTTCACTGTAAATGGTTCGCGATTTAGCACTCTAGCTCTCTATCAGTAATAGCAGCTCGTAGCATAGCACAGTACGTTCGGCCTTTCGGCTTGTAACAGATTGAGTTAGTAAACACGGTTGTTTAACATATTTCCTGCTTATTTCTCCACTTTACTTGTTCATCACCTATTTGAAACCCCCAGGTTACGTGTTGGGCCTGCGGGTTGAGGGAATAAACTTCAACAATTTGTAAACAAATCTTTCTATCAGATGTGTTTTTTATAGAGATATGGTTTGCAATTTTGCCAATTCGCTAACGCAAACGTGGGTTAAAATGAAGCAATAAAGTTCAAGATAGCTACTAATTTATCATCATAATTTATAAACGAAAATGAGAGCTTAATTAAAATAACTTATAGAGATGGTTTAACTTTTATGATTTTCCTGATAGTAATCACAAAATAATTATAATATTTTTTCCCATAAAAACATACCTGTAATTTAACTAGAAATGATGATGATATCAATAAAAATACTTCCTCCGACTCACAAAATTTTGTCAATTTCTTTTTTTGTCATGCTAAAACCCTTTCATCTTCATTTAAAGTAATAAGAAGTATGTTATATGTATGTAGGGGCGTAGCCGGTGCACCAGGACAAATTGGGCCGGTACGAATAATATAGGATTTTTATCAATCCAGGACCTATAAGATAGAAGAATTATCAACTCAGAACCTCAAAGATTAAATGTATCGATATAGGATCCGAATGATGGGAAAATATCAATCTAGGTCTCGAGTGATTGATAACTATCAATACAGGACCTAAGTTTTCATAAATCTTGTTATTTTTTATTTTCAAAAATTTAAATATTATTTATTTTTATTAAACTAATAAACTGTTGTGAAGAAGATTTCATCAAATATTAGCAATGGAATTAATAGAAAATTAAATAAATCAAATCCCATGAAATGTTAGGTCCTATATTGATAGTTTTTCATCATTCGGGTCCTATATCGATATATTTCATCTTTCAGGTTCTGGATTGATAAATTTTCTATCTTTCAGGTCCGGAACTGATAAATTTCTAATATATTAGGGGGGGAAATACACAAAAATTTTTACACCGAAAATTAAATCATTTTTATTAAATTAATAAGAAGCATGTTACACACACATACACACACACACACACATGTGTGTGTATATATATATATATATATATATATATATATATATATATATAGAGAGAGAGAGAGAGAGAGAGAGAGAGAGAGGCGTAGCCTAGACGACTGGGCCGAACTGAGCCAGTACAAACAATACATTTGAAAACAAGTACACGAAATATTTTACACTGAATATTTAGGCATTTTTTGATTAGGGATAGGTCAGGGCTTAGGTTGGCTCCCCTCTAGACCCGCCTGTATAAATATGTGGTAAAGTTCTTTCTCTCTTTTTTGCTCAATTTTCAACTACACAATTTTCATTTTTTCCATGAGTAAATCAAATTTGGATATATTTGGTGAGGCACAAGGAGAAATTTTTATCTTTGCATAATACTTCATATGCACCTTATAATTTTTCCATCTTTCTTTTTGTAATTGTCTATAAGACTGTCACTTTCCTTTAATCAATTAATTTGTGGTTTCTGGTATTACATTTTTTAGTTAACGTAATATTATTGTTTTTGGAAAGCCAACTTCATTTCCTATTCTACCTTAAAACCCGTGAAATCAAACCTGTAATTTAATTTTAGAGGAGTGAGTACTACAACAACAACAACATCCAAGCCTTAGTCCCAAAAGATACTGGGGTCGGCTAACATGAATCGATACATGATATCACAATCAAAAGGAAAAGAAGGAAAAAAGATAAAAAGAGAAGCTATTATGAAAAGATAATATAAAAAAGATGAATATATATAAAAATGATAAAATAAAAAGGCTGCAAATAATGCATATATATATATAAGGATAAAAAAACTAGGAAAAAAAGATGAGGGAAAAAAATTATCAAGATCACTCCTTCACATGAATACCCGCCCTCCACTTAGTTCTCTCCAAAGTCATGCCCTCATCCAACCCCAGAAGAAGCATATCACTTCGAACTCCGCCATGATATCATTTTTTTGGTATCATGCCTGTCCCAAGCCAGGATAAAGGAGGAGGGTGTTGTGGTAGGCGTGTGACGGCCAACAGTATCACTTAGTCACATCACATGACAAGAGGAGTGAGTACTATTTAAATAAAAACATACTCCGTACTATTCTACTCTATATAGACCCGTGCATCGCACGGGTACTTTGTCTAGTAGAAAATAACAAAAATAGATAGCTTCAGCTGGTGAAACAGCGGAATCCATTCTTCAAGCGCCATCCTCTAGACCCTAGTCATGCAATTCCTTTGCGGCGGTGGTTCAAAAGGGGGATGAATCATCGACACACCATCTTCTTCCTCCACCACCTGAGGCGGCTAAAACAACTGTACCATCCCCCAATAGCTGATAGGAGCCTAAAATCGCCCCCTTTAATCGGGACCCATACCACTAGCGTTCCACCCAAATCAAACACAACTGGTGCAACTCACATCTTAGTCACCATCAAAGCCAGAACAATCAATCCAAGCATCGGAAAATCAGGTCTCACAACCCTAGCCGACGCAAATCCACGGTCGCCTTTGAAACCACTAAAAGTCACTGACATAAGTCTAGAAAATAAACAAATACACGCTCTTCTTCGTCCGTGGGTATCTTCCACCCTTTATTGTCGCCTGACTAGAGCTGTTGCCCAACCTAACTTCTGCCTGCAAACTGCCACAAACCAGGGCCATTGCCCAGCCTCTCACAACACCTATCCAAACTCCGGAACAGAACCGCCATGAGGAACACAACCGCCGCCCGCCCAAAATCTCCTAGACTCCGCTAGGGCCGTCCGCCTTTATCACCTTCTTCCAGCAAACCGCCAAAACCTTGCCTGATTACAACCACTGAATTTTATAAATATTAGCTAACTAATTTTAGTTAGCTAAGAATTTAATAAAACAGTACCTTCGTCCCAAAATGATGGTCTTGTATTTCCTATTGGGGGTGTCCCAAAATGATAGTCATGTTTCCTTTTTGTAAATAAATTAAAGTAAATTACCATTTATACACCCCCTTTTCAATGATCAGTAAAAGTAAAAGAGTGAACAATACAATAAAGTAAGGTTATATGTGACCTTCTACCGCTCTTTCTTAATATTTGAGCCCAAAAGGACAGGGCCATCAATTTGGGACGGAGAGGGTATTGCAGTTTAACTAAATTTGTCCCAACCCTCAAACCTCTTTTGTAGTAATGTAAGAACCCCCTTGTGATATAGAAATTCAGCACATTAGTCCTTGTGATTTGAAAAATCCGTCAAACACCCTTGCGTTTTAACTAATAGCACATAACCCCTTTTATGAATAAATTTAACGATTTAAAATTATTTTTTTCTAATATATTGATTGAATATGCAAGTAAATATGTCAAAATATCTAAATCATACAATAATTTGTTCATAAAAGGGATTTTGCACATGATTAATTAAAGCACAAGGGAGTTTGACGCATTTTTAAATCACGTGAAGTTTGGTGCTGATTTGAGATTGAGTCTGTTTTTGAAATAAATAAGTTAAAAGTGAAAAAGGCAAAGTTTGTAAATGAAAAGTAAACAATTAGGAGACATAAATGAAATACAATAACAAAGAGTAGACTCCACAGGATATTTCCACTTATATGAAATTAAAGACATTTGTAGCAGATTGCAAGCAGGAGCTCATCTACATTCGCCGACACGCGGTTTCCAACTTTCAATTGACAACTCTTCAGAAATTATTCCAAATAGGAGTAAAACTATAACAAAAATCTAAAATAGGGCTTGTTATGTTTTTATTCCAAAATAGAACCATATTACTCCTATAAAAAACATACCTATTTTTTTATTTCATTCATACCCCTTCCTTTAAATATGAGTAAAAGGTAATCAAAAGTCATATATAAATGTTTAATTCATGGTAAATTCGAAAAAAATTAAGACAATCGTAGAAAAGTAATAAAAAATTAATAAAATATTTATAAAATAAAAAATTTTAATTTTTTTTAAATTAATAAAAAATAGTAAAACTCCATAAAAAAATTAAAAAATATGGATGTCTTTCCCACAGCTTGTACTGCCTCCCTGCAAAAAATGGTATATTACTCTTTGAGAATGCCAAAACTTTCATTGAATCTGCCATAAATATGGTATTCGTAATTGATGTTTTATTTTTTCCCCTGGTGATTGGAGGTGGTGGTGCTGGGGCGGTAGGGGTGGCGGTGATTTTTTTGTGTTTTTTATTTTAAAAAAAAATAAATAAATAAAAATAATTATTATTAAAATATTTGTATTAATTTTTTAGTATTTTTATGATTTTTTTTATGAATTAAAAGATTTCAATAGCAACAAGGGTATATTTGTGTCGCACACACATAATTAGTCCTATCAAAATATAGTTTACTTTTGTCATATTTGTACAAAGTGTGACCACTTTAAGTTCTATTTTGATAATTGGTTCTGCCCCGCACGCCACCGAGGTTGCTCCGCGCACCATATTTTTGTAAAAGTTGGACAAGCGTCCCTTTAGTCACGCACTCGGCAGTTCACTAATTCTAATGGTGCTAGGCGCACCACCTACTTTTCCTTATTAATGTCACTGTCATATACGAAGTACATATTTAACTATTTATGGAGCATCTCCCTTCATTCTTGGTATTGATTTTCATATTTCCTAAAATTTTGTGTAACATGTTTCGAAAAATAACGTAACCATCTTTCAAATATATTCAAATTCCTAATATAATTACAATTACTTTTTAACTACTATCAAACAACTATTATATACTCCTAATAAGATAATTACAATTACTTTTCAACTATTAAGATAGAACATATTTGGAACTCATTATCAATGTTCTTATAATCTTTTTACAATCTTCTTATATGATGGAGGATGAATGTGAAAGTTATCTAAAAATAGTACTCTTTATTTTCAAACTTATGAGTGTATTCATCTGCCCCACTATCTGTATATCAGTTCTTTGTTTTATATGTTTCATTAAGTTTGTCATATACAATATTCGTTAATATTTTGATGATCATACATATATTTTTTCATTCATCTTTATATTGAATAATATTGTTTTTATTCTATTATCATCTAACTACGATATGACAATATGTAGGATGTTTTTAATTGAGACCAGTTCAGACTAGACCATACCAAACTTAAATATAACAAATAAGATAAGCTCATACCAGACTAGACTAAACTAGTAAATTTTAGTCTAAATTCTTATTGGTAGTATAATAATAAATTAATGTCATCGAATAAATAAATTTCTTTCAAACTAATAAGTACACTTCAAATTTCAAATTTCTTTTTATAACTCCATCGAACAATGTCCAAATAAATTTCCTAAAAAAAAGTCTCATTTCCTTTATTGGCAAACAAAATAGTGCAAAACAGTGTCAAACAGTGTCCAAATAGTGTCCAAACAGTGCTAAATAGTACCGATCAACCTGAATTTCTTAAAATGTGTGGGAAACGAATGGAACTTTTATATAGGAATGGAGTGGGAGTAGTAAATATACATTTATCAACTGTTCACGAAATTTGACCATTTTTTTTAATTATTTACATATATTGATATTGGTGTCATATGAAAGATCATAAAAAATTATTTAATTTGATATAAGTTTTATGTAAATTGGAGCAAAAATGAAAAAGTTATAACATTATACTCCGTATAAAAAAGGAATTATTTGCCACACGACAACATGTCACTAGTGGAAAAACGTCAAATAGAGGCGCTTCGTTTGAGGCGCTTTTCAGCACAAACGCCTCTATTTGGCGTTAAAATTATTATTTTAAAATTTTTTAAAACCGTGCGGCGCTTATTGAATAAAAGCGCCTCCAATATTTTTTAAATTTTTTTTTAACTCGTGCGGCGCTTTCTTTTGAGAAGCGCCTCCGATTTGATTCCCGTTTTTTTTTTGAAATCCGTCCACTCGTGCGGCGCTTAGGGAAAGAAGCGCCTCTAATTGCCCCGGATTTTTTTGGAATTGGGCCACGCGTGCGGCGCTTGGGTAGAAGCGCCTCTAAGTTCCCCGGTTTAAATGGAATTGGGCCACGCGTGCGGCGCTTGGGCTAGAAGCGCCTCTAAAATTTCGTATTTTTTTTATAAAAAAATGCTGCGTGCGGCGCTTTTCTGTACGAAACGCCTCCAATTTTAAACAAAAAAAATACCCCGTCGTCGTCCAAACTTAACCTAGCCGCAGCTGGATCGGAAACGGAAACACCTGGGAACGGAAATAGCAGCCGCTCGCGACCTTTCGACCGCACCGCCGCCCGCGACGTTTCGCCCGTACCGCCGCACCGCCGCCCGCGACCTTTCGACCGCACCGCCGCCCGCACGTACGCCGTAGGCTCGCTCGCCGCCGCTGCACGCCTGCAACTACTCCGGCACGTCGTCGACTTCTCCGGCTCCCCTTCGACTTCTCCGGCTCCCCGTCGACTTCTCCGGCCCGCATCCCAGGTCAGTTTATTTTTTAATTAAGTTTTTGGTATATTTTGGTTGATTTCACTTTTATTTGATTTTAGTTTAAATTTTAGTTTAAATGTTTTCAGATTAATGTATATTACATATGAGATCCATTGTTCCCATGTTTAGGATTCCTTAATTTTTAATCAAGTGGGAATTATACTTACATTGATAAAAGTGAGTTTATTTGTTAATTTTTTTGGCATATATATTATGTTTTTCATTTTTATTTGATTGTACTTTGATTTTTTTGGACCGCTTCGGCTCACAGTTAATTATAATTTATTAATTGTTTATTTGACAGCGTTATCAATATAATGTATTTTATTTGATTATAGTATGTGTAATTATTGAAGTAATAATTATTTGATTATACCCGAATGAATAATGGCCACCACTGAGATGGAAGATTGGTTGGTTTTAGTTCGTGTTAGTTCAGTAGTGTTGAATACATTTCACTCACATAGAAACTTTTTTCTGGTATACTCCTTTAAAATGAATGGAAAATGGGGTCATGGTATTCCATACTATGAAGCTATGAAGCTAGTAGAAATAATTTTCATGCTATTCTGGTTGAAACTTTTCATTCACATAGAAACTATGAAGCTAGTACAAATAATTTTGTTTTCTGGTATACTCCTTTAAAATGAATGGAAAATGGGGTCATTTCATTCACAAAATAAAATGAATGATATACATAGAAACTTTTTTCTGGTATTCTGGTTGAAACTTTTCATTCACATAGAAACTATGAAGCTAGTAGAAATAATTTTGTTTTCTGGTATACTCCTTTAAAATGAATGGAAAATGGGGTCATGGTATTCCATACGTGTCAAGGAATAAATCCGCCAAAGAACTACGTCTTATATGCTCCTGCTTCATTGCAACATCTGTGAATATGATTTGATTTGGTTGTACCCCTTGTGCAGCTGCATCTGATAAAACATTATTACTTGGTTAACATTATGGAGGGAGTATATGATATTGCTTATATGCACATTATATGATATATGATTATTGGACAAATGTAGAATTTCGTTCAAAATGGATCGTTCTTGGATGTATGGACGTCGAGACACGTCTGAGTTTTTCATTGGTGCGAATGGGTTCATCAAAGCTGCCGTTACACACCAGAAACAACATGGACATAAAGGAATTTTATGTCCTTGTTTAAAGTGCCGGAACTTGAGAAGAGAGAGTGACACCAATGTTATACTTCAACATCTGTTAGTATATATGTCCTAGCGACAATCACTTTTTAGAGATATATGTACTTGATCACATTCAGTTTTATATATTTGATATATACAGTATTACACATTGATGATTAAGCATTTCGATTGTCAATGTCTTATTCATAATTGTGTTCCCTTG